GTTCTGTTTTCCTAATGTGTGAGTTCACAGCTATGAATTTCCCTGAGAACTGCTTTCATTGCATCCCATAAATTCTGATAAGCTGTGGATGAATTTTCATTGAATTGTAGATATTGTTGAATTTCTTGTTTTACTTCATCTGTAACCCATTGATTGCTGTGTAGGGTGTTAATTTCCATGTATTTAGTGGGTTTTTCTGGTTTGTTATTTATTTCCAGTTTCATTGCATTGTGGTCAGATAATATGCATGGGATAATTTCTGTTTTCTTGCTTATACTTAAGCATGACCTATGGACTAGTATGTGATCTATTTTAGAAAATGATCCGTGTGCAGCTGAAAAAAGTGTGTATTCCGCTGTGGTTGGGTGGAACACTGTGTATGTCTACCAAGTCCATTTGTTCCAAGCTCTGGTTCACTTGTGCTACTTCTTTGTCTGGTTGATCTATCTATTTGGGATAAGGGGGTGTTAAGGCCTCCTGTTAAGATTGTTGTATTGGATATTAGATTTTTCATGTCTATTAAATTTTGTCTTATATAGTTGGGTGCTCCTGTGTTTGGTTCATACATATTTATGATTGTTATTTCTTCCTCTTGAATTTTTCCTCTAACTAGTATATAGTGGCCTTCTTTATTTCGTTTAATCATTCTTGGTTGGAAGTTGAGACTGTCTGAGCTCAAGATTGCTACCCCTACTTTTTTCTGAAGTGCTGGGGCATGTAGTATTGTTTTCTATCCTTTGACTTTTCAGCCTGTGAGTTTACGAGTTAAATGCGTTTCTTGTATACAACATATTGTTGGGTTTTGTTTCCTAATCCACTGTGCCAGTCTATTTCTCTTAATTGGTGAATTGAGTCCATTTACACTGATGGTTATTATTGAGATATGTTGACTTACGATTGAAATGTTATTTGAATGCTGTTTTGTAACTTTTTTCTTCTGTGTTTGTCCTGTTTAATGGGTTTCTTCTGTTCTCTTTGGTGGAGTTCTGATCATTTTGGTCTCTCTCTAGAACATCTTTCAGTAGTCTGTGTAGGGTTGGTTTTGCCATTGTGAAATTCTTTAGTTGTTGTCATGAAAGTATTTCACTTCTCCATCAAACTTGAAAGAGAGTTTTGCAGGATATAGTAGTCTGGGTTGGAATTTGTTTTTGTAGGACTTGAAGTACTCTGCTCCATGCTATTCTTGCCTTCATGGTTTTTGAAGAGAAGTCAGTTGTAATTCTGATGGGTTTTCCTTTGAATGTGATCTGCTTGTTTTCTCTAGCTGCTTTCAGTATGATATTCTTATGTTGGATTTCTGAGATCTTGACTATTATATGTCTTGGTGTGTTTTTAATTGAGTTGAAGTAATTTGGAGTTCTGTATGCTTCAGCTACATGAGTATCAGATTGTTTCCTCATATTTGGGAAGTTTTCTGCTATTACTTCTGTCCATATTCTTTTTCTATCATTTGTATTGACTCCTTCTTTCTCATTGATGCCTATTACTCTCACATTGTTCATCTTTGTATCGTCTTGCAAGTGATGAATTATTTTTTCCTGCATCCTAGTTTTTAAGAGATCCTTTCTTACCTTTTCACTAGCTGCACGAGCGTCTTCAAGATCTGAAACTCTAGCTTCACTTTCGCTCAAATGGTTTTTCAGGCTTGTATTTGAGATTTTAAGGTCCTCTACATCTCTGACTCTGCTTCATGTGATCTATTTCTTTTCTGTATTGCTCATTCAAGGAATCCATCATTTTTTTAATCTCCTGTATTTTTTTAATCAGTCTTCTTTAGAAGCAGTTATTAATTCTTTCACTGCAGTTTTTTACAGATTGGGTTTCCTCTTTATGTTTCTGTATTTGATTCTTTAGTTCAGGTGCTATGAATTTAGAGATTTCTTTTTTCATTTCAGACACTAATTCTGCTTTGAGTTCCTTTAAGCCTTTCTGTACTTATTTACTTCCGTTGCTATTTATGCATGTATTTCAAAATACTATGCATAAAAAATACTATGCTAAGCTAGTGTCCATTGCATTTGTTCTGTTGGGCATTGTTTCCTCCATATGTTTCTGCATTTGATTCTTAAGTTCAGCTGCTGTACATTGTTTTTTTTTTTAATTCCAGAAATTAATTCTGCTGAGTTCCTCTATATCTTTCTGCTGTTTATTTACTTCCGACACTATTGATTCATTTATTTCAGCTGAACTAGTGTCCTCTGCACTTGTTATGGGTGGGCTTGAGACCTGAGATTGCATTTTGCTCCTTGTCTTTATTGTTTTAACACTGATCTGTGGCCTTTGGTGTAGAGCTTTTGTGCAATTATGTTATCACTTAATGAAATTCAGGTGCTGATATACCAAGTTCTAGTTCATGCAGTTGTGCCTAGCTTGGGTTGGCTACTGTGCCCAGCTCCTTACTGTTGTTGCCTTTGGAGGTGGGCCTGCTGTACACCTCTGGTAAGATGATCTGTTTCTGGATTAGCTGTGTGGTTTTGACCCTAGTCTTACTGCGGGGACTTTAGCTGCAGGGTTTTACCTCAAGCCGGTATGCTAGGTCTGGGCTGGGTCTGGAGGGGTATGAGGAGCAGGGGCGAGAGAGCCCAGAAGCTCTCCCACACACTCACCAGTGTTGTGTTTTGGTGGGTCTGCAGGACTCCCAAGAGCATGGCAGAAGTTCTTACTCATATGGCAGGCTGCGCTGGGTCTGGCCGGCCGGGGGAGGTCTGGATAACAAGGGCAAAGGCCTCTTATGCAGTGGGCGGGCAGGCGCAGGACAGAGCAGAAGCTCTTCCCCACACTTGCAGGGCCTGGGGTTGGTCGGATATGGAGGGCCCAAGGCGCAACGGAAGTTCTCAAGAGGGATTTGTTCTAATAGGATATCATGTCTGCATCTTGTACAGCAAATAACCACTAGGAAGAGAGCACACAAAGTGTTAATTATTGTAACTGTGCTATCAATTTGATTTGAAATTGTCTCGTGGTTTCTCAATAAAATATGGAAAAAAAATTCAAAAGAAAATGCCATTCCCGTTAACGGTTGGAAAGAGGAAAGTTGTGCTGATATATGCCTTTGGTCTTGTTTTACCAAACTGCTGTCCCTGAGAATGAAGGAAAAAACAAGTGTCCGTGACAGTGATGTAGGCCCTGAGTGGTTGGAGTAGAGCAAGCAGCAGCTATCTAGGCTGAGCTCAAGGCCTTGAGAAGATGGTCTTTGCTGGTTAAAGGAAGCCAAAATTTCTGGGGTTGGGAAGATAGCTCAACAGCATAAGCGCCTGCCTAGCACAAGAGCAAGGTTCTGAATTCAATCTCTGGTACAAAAAAGAAAAAGAGCCAAAATTTTTTATCATGCTCAATGATAAAAGGGTCTGTTGAAGGAAGTGATTAAGAGAAGCCATTGTGTTGCAGAAGAGTTCCGCTGCTAGCCTTACAGTCTAAGATACTGATAAAGTTACAGGGAGTGTGACTGCCCACAGGATGACAGTATTAAGGATGATCTATAGCTTGCATGTAGATTGGAGTTCTAGTGACAAAGGAGAAATATGAAAATACTGGACCCAAAAAGGCTGACATAAGTGGTTTAAATAAGGCTGTATGTTTGTGTAAGAGAACTGACAGGAGCATTAAGAGTCGAGAGAGCAAGGCTCCATCAGCAATGGAGTATAGAAATGCTGTATCAAAAGTCCAATCAAAAGGTTCTACAGGATTTCCCTGGGTAGCTCAGATAAGAAAAAGAGCTGGGCACAGCCAGCAGTCTCATGCTAGGGACTGATCAGTGTGTGAATCTTCAGTAGTGTGAATCCTTTTGGGTAGACAGAGGTAAGGAAAAGGTTTGGGACAGTGGGCTTGAGATGTAATCACAGGTAACAAAGCACAGAACAAGTGTCCAGTCTGAGCTGCTTCCTGAGCATGGTGTGCTAAGTCTTCCCACGACAGTAAAAACCAAACTAAGTTTTTGACATAAGATGTCTAAACCACAATCCATTAAAGCAGCTTAAAGTATATCAAAGAACTTGGAAACATGAACATTATTTGTATTTGTTAGAGGACAGAGATGACAAGGCATTACTTCCTAATGACCCTAATGAATATGCATAATGTGAGTCACTTATGAAGACATATCACAGAAAGCACAGTGAAACAGCCCAGGATCCTATAAAGTGCCAAGAGTCAGGCCTGAGGAATTACTGTTAGGAGACTCCAGTGGCCTGGCGACTCCCTCAAATGGCCAGTTCTACACTGGGTACTTTTTCTGACATATTATTTGGACTAATGGAGAAGGCTCAATGGGTCCTACAGATGAGATGGTAGCAGTGTGAAGAGTACTGTGGTGTGTAGGAATTCTATATGCAAATATTTAGGATAATGACATGAAACCAGCCACTCATCCTCAGAGATCTCAGGAAGAAAATGTCTCAAAATAAAAACTTTATTTAAGTAAAGTTTTGTTTTACAATAAAACTTTTTTCTTGAGGAAGTGGGGAGTTTTTCCACATGGTTTGCCAAATCGAAGCATCTTCAGCTCTAGCTTGTCCTCATTAATTTGAAAATAGAATGCTTATATGAGACCGCATCTATGCTGAGTGGAGGGCAGGCATCTCAGAGCACTTGCTAGCTTCTCCATTTACTGTGTGACTGGCTCCGTGTGCCACATTCACCTCACCAGCTGCTGGCACATCACCGGCTGAGGGACTGCTGAAGAGCTTCATATATTTTTTGATCCTTAGGGGAGGGGAAAAGGCAGAACAGAGCTAAGCAAAGGAGGGTATGTACAGAATGGTAAGTTCACAGGTTCACATGCTTCAGCCCTAACCCCTGGATATCAAAAAATGGGGCTGTATTTGCAGATAAGACCTTTAAAGAGGTGATTAAGGTAAGTCAAATGGTTGGGCCCTACACTGAGTATCTGGACTCCCAGTAAGAAGAGGCAGTTAAGATCCAGACACACACAGGGGGAAAAAGACACAGCTCGCTGTGTGAAAAGGAATGCCTCAGGAAAAAGTTGCTACCTTGCTCCAGGCATTGTCTCCAGACCAGTAAGGACATAAAGTTCCTATTGATTACGTTCATAGTCTGTGGAGCTTTGGTATGGTTCCCCAGGTGGAGGACTCTAGTGGGTGGAAGCTTACACCCAGCTTTTGGAAGAGCTGTGCCCTGAGAAGGCAATAAGTGAAATTGTGGGAATTAAAGCCCAGAGTGCAGTGGAGACCCCAGGAAGCTGGAGAAGCTAGCAACACGGAAGTTCTACTAGGGCCATTAGGTGTTAAGGGGAGGCACCCAAAAGAAAGGCCCCTGTGGCTGTGTCAGGAGGCACGGTGGTGGCGGGACTGCTCAAGCCTCACATCTCACAACTTGTCCTGGTTGCTAGAACACAGCCAGGCCTGGGGAAATAGTTCAGTAGAATAAGCACCTGCCTGGTAAGTGCAAGGTCCTGAGTTCAATCCTCGGTACCGCAAAAAATAAAAATAAAAATATAAAAGTAGAACACAGCCGGAGGATTTAATGTTTGCCCTGCTGGGTTTTGGTATTGCTTTGGTCCACTTCTTTCTGCCCTATTCCTCCCTTGTGGAATGGGAATGTTTATCCTGTTCCAATTTCTTTTAACTTTTATAGGGAGTCATTAAGAATTTGCCTCAAGTTTCACAGGAGATTTTAGACCTAAACTCTTCAGCAATGCTGAAACTTGTCAGATTTTGGTAATCTTGAAGGTACACTAAGTGTCTCTAAATAAAGAGATGCACATAGGTCTTCTGGGGGCCAGGGACAGAATGCTACAGTTTATATGGAGATGTCCTCCAAGAGCCTCATAGGCTCACAAGTGAAGCTTCTGGACAAGGACAGGGCCATGAAGGAACTAGAGTTCACTAGTTGTGAAGAGGCAGGTCACTGAGGGGGGCCTCAACACTCCCCTAAAAAAAGCAAATGAAGATGAAAAGGATACACATATAACCAATAAACATAAAAATATGTCCCATACTTTAGTCATCTGGAAAATGCAAATTTAAACTACAGTGATACATTAAATACTATTCTACATCCAGCAAAACACTGGGGCTCTTGTAAGGCACAAACAGACCTGCCTGACAGGTGTATATAGGATTCCCATGGAGTGAAACACATATAGCCCAGCAATTACTCACCTTGGAATTTACTTGGGAGAATTAAAGATATATGTTTATACTAATGTGCCTGTGTGTGTATATACACACATGTATGTAAAATTTCCACGTAGTTTAATCATAAAAACCTGGAAACAATCCAAATGTCCACCCTGGTGAAAGGCTAAGAAAACCACCGTGTACATCCACAATGGCACAATGCTCGATAAAAGAACTCCTGAAACAAGGCAAACATATGAATCTCAAGGATACTCTCTGAGCCAAAGAAGCCAATGAGTATACAACCTCTCATTCCATGTACCACTCTATAGCAGGCTGACTTAAGTTCAATCAGGGAAATCAGGTCAGTGGGCTCTGGGAAGAAGCCCACCCTAAAGGACATAATTTCCACAATAATCATACTGTACTTTTACTGCACTGCTGAGGACCCTGGCCACAGCTCAAGAGGGGAACATGGGGTACATGTGAGCTTGTGTATACTGCTGGACATAAATTAAACCTCAACATGAAACCTAAACTCAGAGGATGAGAGGAAAACAGGAGCTATGCAGAAACTTGAAACCCAGCTGGTATAAGAGAAATAACTCCAATGAAAGCAAAGTATTATTTCTCTGGGAGGTCACTTTAGTACCAGTCCCTTTTTGATCAGATGACAAAGGCAACAATTTTAACTCCAAGACTCTGATTTCAATTTTATTTGAAGATGTTCAGTAAAATACCTTCTGTGCTACACTGAAGTGCCTGACAGGTGTAGGCAGACTGCTGTTCCTCCCAAGATGCTGACAGAGCACAGGGGAGGCTTACTCTGACCGCTGCAGTGGGAAAGATCATGTGCCCACGGACAGCTCACCATCAAGTCCCTGGCCACTTATTTTCTTAGGTAAAAGTAACACAGTCAATTCTCAGAACACACGGACCTGAGTGTTGAGAAAAGCACTTGTTCTATGCCAACAGTTCGAGACTCTGACGGAGAGTTTTCAATCCATGAGAAGTGCTGTACCTGGATAATAAATGGCTTATGGTTTAAGGGAAGTATTACTATACCATCAGTGAACAGATTCTCATTGCTAAAGCATATTCTGGAAAAAGCACAATGCCAAGTGGTAAAACTTACCACAATAATATCAGATTCAGGCATTTTCCAGGGCTGGGTATTTGACAGCAACTAATTTAAATTTACCACAAAACACCTGAGCACAGTAAGAAATAAGTAAGGAGAAAGCCTTTTTACCAAGATGGCGCAAAGATGGAGAAGGAAGCCCCTGCCCCTCCCAAAGCTGAAGCAAAAGCAAAAGCTTCGAAGGCCAACAAGGCCATGCTGGAAGGCATCCATAGCCATGAAAAGAAGATAGGAACATCGCCCACCTTTTGCTGTCCCAAGACACTGTGGCTGTGGAGGCAGCACAAGTACCCTCTGAAGAGAGCCCCCAGGAGAAATAAGCTCGACCACTAGGTCATCATCAAGTTCCCCTGACCACAGAGTCACCCATGAAAAAGGTCGAGGACACCACACTTTTGTTCACTCTGGATATCAGAGCCAGTAAACACCAGATCAAATGACAAAACTCTGGGAGCTCTAGGACTTTGACGTTGCCAAGGTCAGTCCCCTGATCAGGCCCGATGGAGAGAAGAAGGCGTATGTTCGATTGGCTCCCGATTATGGCGCATTGGATGTTGCCAACAAAATTGGGATCATATAAACTGAGTCCAGCTGGCTAATTCTAAATACCTACTTTTTCTCCCCATTAAAAAAAAGAGAAAGAAAAGAAAATATGTAAATAGGTAAAACATGGCATTTTGGGTAAGAAGTCAGACTGTGCAACCTTCTCCTACCTTATGATGAAAACACTACTTTTCTGAAATGTAAGCATAAACTTCATAGCTTAGTTTAGGTATGCTTAAGCTCCAAAATCAACGAAAAAAAAATCGTCAGAAAAAGACATAATACTTCAAATAATACTTCAGTGAAACTAGGAATTAAGAAATTGAGGAAACACAGTTGTCCTCTCTCAGTAAGCTGTGGTCTGAGAATCTAGTAAGAATTATGCCAGTCAAAATAAAAAAATTTCAAGAACACAAATAGGTCATTATTTTAGTTCAAAATGTAACATGAAATTTTGGAAAGCAGAAAGGACAAAGCGTGATCTATAACATAATTTCACAATTTGAGTTCTTGCCTAATGACACCACTTCAATGCCTTTGGTCTAGAACCTAAGTTGTGTTTCTTACCTTTACGGATATAGATGGTTTCACTTTCTTAAAAGCTTCTTCAAAGTGCATATGACAAATCCTGAGCTCACCTGCAGAACATATGTACACATATTACAGTAGATCCTACTGAGTTATAACTTAGAATTTCTCTTGGAAAACATCAAGCCTTCAAGGGAATACAAGACATCAGGGACAGGATGGGCTCTTTAACATAACAATCAAACCAGATATATTTTGCTTTAATCAGATTTAGTCCTGTACCAACCAAAAGTATTCATCACTCCTAAGTAGACACTTTGCTTTCCTTGTGCTGGGCTGATACATATGGAAAAGAATCAGAATTGTTAGTAAAATTCAAATATATGTGTGTGTGTGTGTGTGTGTATATATATATATATTTTTTTTTTTTTTTAATTTTATTGATTGATTGTGTGTGTGTGTGGCCAGCTCAGCCCACCAGGAGGCGGGGCTGGTTGGCATGTGGTGCTGGGGGATTGAACCGCGGTCCCTGTGTTTTGCTAAGCTTGTTCTAAGTAGGTGCTTTAGACCACTGAGCCATCTCACCCACCCTCAAATATATTTTACTAAGGATAAAAGTTTTCTCCACAGTATACACTTAAGAGCACATTAAGATATAAGGAATTCAGATATTAGGAAGTTATAATATTTTATATAAATATAAAATATCACAATACTGTATTAGGGAATATAACTTGTTACTAAGGGAAATAATACTGCTAACTTACATATAGCTTGGAAAAAAATATTCACATAGTAACTTACCTGATGAGAACTTTATTTTAACATAGTAAACTTTTTACATAGACATTTCCAGTCTATGTAGCCAGAATGCAGTGTGTTCTAGCCATAAAAGCACCCGAATGATAAAAGCAAAGACACCGTTAAATGGCAAGGTAAAGCAAAGCTACTGTGATGGCCCCCAATCATCACATAGTCAAATATACAGACTCGGGGCTTCTTGTTTGATTTTATAGTGCTGCAGTCTGAACTCAGGCCCATCCCAAGCAGTACACAAGCACTCCACTTGTATGTTTGGGGTAAACACAGAGAAATCCACACCAATCTATTTGTGTATTTTGAAAGTTCCAATATACACTTTTCCAATGTTCACTTCTCCCGTGTTACATGTATTTCTAACCTCTCCAATTGAGGTTGCCTTTTTTTTTTTTAATTTTATTTATTGGGCCGGGGAGATGGCTCAGTGGAATAAGTGCTTCCCTGGCAAGCATAAGGTCCTGAGTGCAATTCCCCGTAACTATCTCCCCAGCCAGGTGCTGAGCCTGAGCTACCTCCTCAGCCCTTACTTGATCACTTGCAGATGGTGTTTAATAATGCCCCTTAGAGAAGCACTGAATAGGCTTGTGTTGTAGTAGACTGCACAATACTGCTCAGCATTTTCTAAGGGTGAAGAAAACGGCATCTTTCTTTATCACAGAATAAAGATGCCGAGAAAGCACCCCTTCATAGCAGCAGTGGTTTTAGGGTTTTAGTGACAGTGAACTTCACTGAGAGATCTGGAGAGAATTGTACCTTTTCCATTTCCATGCTGTTCTTTCGCCATTTCCTGCCTCAGGGCACAGAGAGAAGCTTCTCGTACCAAAGCAGAGAGATCTGCACCCCTGAAATAAGAAGGTTTTATTTGCCCTTTAGATACTGCAGACCCCAGAAGTCAGGTGGCAGATCTTCACTGTCCGTATGAACAACGAGGAAAGACTATCTGTAAGGTGGGAAAGTCTGACTAGGGCGTACACAAAGGGACAGCTAGCTCTCTCTCTCAGGACACCTATCTGCACAGTCTACGTTAGACACCTCCCAGAAGCCTCCTCCCTCACAGGCGACGAATGGCTGCTGTAAGGCAGGGCCTGGTCAGGGCGGTGGGCGACCTGACATGGTCTTGCTAAATGGCTCAATTGACCTAAGCTTACCAGCCCCAGGCACATGAGGTTTAAGGTTTCATATAAAATGCTTTTAATCTTTACGTGTGAGAGACTTATGGAGGAAGCTATGCAATGAAAGATTAAACATTTCCTTCCTAAGAACTATAGCAACCAAGGCTAATATAAAACATCCTGCGGGTAACACATTATTTTCTGCAATGTTTTCACAAATGAAAGCTAAAGTGCTGCCAGGCATGGTGGGACACACCTGCAATTCCAACACTTGGTAGGCTGAAACAGGAGGATCACCATGAGTTCAAGGCCAGCCTGGGTTCCATAGTAAGTTCAAGGCCAGCCTGAACTACAAGTGAAATCCTGTGTCAAAAAAAAAAGCTAACTTGCTGAGTAGCATATTTACATATTACATTAAGAAGTCACCTGTTCCAGGTTGAAAAGCAGCTAATTTTTATTTTTATGAAGCCCAGAAAAATGAGCTTCACGCACTGGAGTTCTGAGATCATTCCCTGTGTCAGCACACCAATTTGGCATGGTCCTACAAGGTCATGTCAGGTCACAGAACATGACATATGGGGGTGACCCACACATTGCATAAAATAATGATGCACAGAGCTTCTTTTGGTTAAGTGAGAGCTATAACACTACTTCAGAGTAACATAATAGTCTTATTTTTGACTTGTGGTCTGCAGGCTCTATATGACCATGTTATAATAAAATTTTTTTTAAAAGGACATTTGATACTTATGTATTTCCTGTGGTTACTGCAGGCTGTGAGGTGGGCTCAGAAAATGAGTTCAGAGTCCTAGAAAACGTGGCACTTGGAGATTACTCTCTGCCCAATGCCGAAGCAGCAGAGGGGTAATGTGGCAACCGGTCATGAAATACCTGCACAAACATTCTGAAGCATACTGTGAAGGACAGCAAAGGGATTGGGGAAGTGTGAGCACCTGCGGCAACATGACAGGTGTCTCTGTCCCTCCTAGGAATTTCACGGACAAAGAGCAGGGTCCAGCCGGTCCCTACACAAGGAGCTTATGGGAACCCCGTCACCCTCCCAAAAGCCTGGGCCAGACAGGAGAAACAGCCCCCAAGGGTAAGCTGGCTTGAGATTTAAGCACTTACGAGTAGCAATCACAGCGAAGGTCACTAGCAATTGCTTCCAAATTTACATCTGCATCCAGTGGGGGCTTGGTACCATTCTAAACAAGGCAGAGACATGGTTACTCCTGGGATGTCCAAGACACATGGGCATCCCAGTTATAGCAAAGTTGCCTGGCCTCTGACCCAGGGAAAGGAGCCAACTCTGTGAGTGTCCACTTCTGTTGAGAAGAGGGGAGGAAGGAAGCACACTTCAAGGCTGGAAAGCTAAAGGCAAACATAAAATTTTATGCTCATGAGGTTTGAACAATCTGTCACTCACAGCAAAAGCCAACCTTCACTACCAAGAACAACACCACCACAACAGTCTTCCCCATGGGCTGATTAAATATGACGTACACTTGGGTGGCGCTGAGTGCTGGCAGGCACAGAAGCAGAGCGCAGGTGTGAGCGGGCTAGCAGAGAGCACCACACTGGACCTAGCTTGCGGAGAACAAGCAAGAGCAACCTGCCCCTCACTGGGCACCAGCCCACTGCACCCACCCGGGCCTCAGTGGAGCCCTCACCTGAAACCCAAGGCTGAATGTGGAGCCAATTCCCAGTCAGCTTGTGGGAGGAGATGCCAGAAACAATGACCAGGTTAGTCTCTGGCTGCTGACATACAGGTTAGTCTCTGCACTGCACCACGATCCAGCAGCACACATTCAGTGACGTTCTTTGTGACTCACATTCCAGAGGGAGCAACAAGGTCTCCACTGACTTGACGTCTGCCACATTACCTGCCCTGTCCACGAAAGTCTGCTTATTGTTGACTTATAACTTACATAGTGCACACATGCACTCAGCAGACACAAGGTCATTAAGAAAACACACATGTGAGTGCACACACAAACACACACAAACACACACACACACACGGAGTGAAGATTTCCTTAACCTGTGCCCAGGTGAAAGAGCCCCCACCTTTCCAAAAGAACTAGTTATCCCCGGTACCCGCAAAAAAAAAAAACCAAAAAAACCCCCAAAAAACAAAACAACGACGAAAAAACCAAAACCCTAGTTATCAACAGCACAATTTGCAACAGCTAAGCTTGGAAACAGCCTAGTGGCCTAGCAGCAGAAGGAAAAGGAAAGCGTGATGTATATACACAACAGAGTATTATCCAGCCACATGAAAGATGAAATATTATCTGCAGGAAAATGGATGGAGATGGAGGCCTTCATGTTAGGTGAAATATACCCCACTCAGTAAAGAACCATGTGTTCTTTCACGAACAAATGAATTACATTTATTTTTTAAATTTTTAAATTTTTTTTTTAAATTTTATTTATGTGTGTGTGTGTGTGTGTGTGTGTGTGTGGCCAGCTCAGCCCACCAGGGGGCGGGGCTGGCTGGCATGTGGTGCTGGGGATTGAACCGTGGTCCCTGTGCCTGTGCTTTGCTAAGCTTGTTCTAAGTAGGTGCTTTAGACCACTGAGCCATCTCACCAGCTCCGAATTACATTTAAATTAAAGGAATAGTCTGCATTTTAAAACGCATTAATGCCAAAGATTAAAATTGTTTTAAATTTTGTGTGAAATTCATGCTAGCTAGAAAAACGAACAAGAATTTGAAGGGAAAACATTTCCATATGTTGTACTGTGATGGGTATACTGAAAATGGATTAGGCATTCAGGGTTAAAAAGGAAAGATGACACGGAAGTAGGACGAGAGAGGGTAAGGTATAGGAAAGGGAGAGAGGAGCAAGAGGGATGAAAAGAACCGAAATGTTATGTGCACATACCAATATACTAAGATAATCTCACTCCGTATCACTAATATGCACCCATAGAAAATAACTAAAAATTTACAGGTTGGGCGGGGAGATGGCTCAGTAGGATAAGCGCTTGACTGGCAAATGCAAGGATCTGAGTTCAATCCCCGGTTCCGCCAAAAACAAAAACAAACAAACAAAAAAACCATCTTTAGGACTTCATCTGCTCACTGGCTTTCCTACTTTTTTGGTTTTGTTCTTTCCTTTAAAAAACTCTTTAAAGGTTTTTTTCTTTTTAAAAGTAAGCACTTTATAAAGAAACACATCACAAGTTAACAATTCTCTCTACTCTATTCTTTTAAATGTCATTCTGTACTTTTTAAAGACAAGGTATAGGAGCCGGGGATAGTTCGGTGGAATAAGCACTTGCCTGGCAAGCGCAAGGACTTGAGTTCATTCCCTGGTTCTACCAAAAATAAATAAATAAATAAATAAATAAATAAATAAATAAAAATAAAGACAAGGTATATATATAGTGTTCAGGCTGGCCTTGAACTCACTATGTAGTTCCAGGCTTGCCTGGAATTTGAGGTAATGCTCCTGCCTCAGCCTTTAGTGTGCAGATTACATCATGTGTCACTACACCTGGCCCTTAAGTTTCCAATAAAGTTAATGTTCCATACTGGAAGTGTTCACTTACCACTCACTTCGTGTACTCCACCAACACCCTGCTGCACAGGGAACTTCATAAGTAAGTCTGTTCTGGATGCCAGTACCCAGGGTTTTACAATAGTGCAGTCTAGGGTGACTTGCTTTCTTCTTTGTTTTTATTTTATTTTATTTTTTTTTTGGTATTGGGAATTGAACTCAGGACCTTGTGCTCGCCAGGTACTTATGCCACTGAGCTATCTCTGGCCTCTTCTTTGTATTTTGCATATACTACTTATTATTTAATAACAATAATAGTAATAATAATTCACACAAATAAAACCCCTACAGCCAATCTCTACGGGCACCCTAAAAAGTTGGCATATGAAAACACGGAAGACAGGGTTCAAAATGGTGGTTGCAAAACTCAATTTTTTTTTTGCTGCATATTTAGGATAGATCTGTAACTCTTTACGTTCCCTTTCCAAGATTTTTTTTGCGGGACTGGGGATCGAACTCAGCCCCTTACGCTTGCCAGGGAAGCGCTTATTCTACGGAGCCATCTCCCCAGCCCCCATTCCAAGATTTCTATTCCACTTGAAGTATGCCTGATGATACCTCTTCTAATGAAATCAACCGAAATCTAAAGGAATAGAAAATGCCACTACTGTGATTATCTCAAGTGTAGTAGTTCAATAATTAATTTTAAATGTCCTTCACTTAGTTTACTCTTATTTTAAGCCAACAAAAATGAGAGGGGACAATGCACTCCATGATCACCGCAGCTACTTTAGGGACAGAAACCTGGCACGTGCGTCTAGCTACAGAAGAGAGCAATTAGCTACACTGAGCTCCTGTCTTGGCTGCAGTGAACGACAGAAACACCCATCACGTCTGCCCCTCTATTTACTTACTTTTGTAATAGTTTTTAAGATGGCAAGACGATCTGCTGGAGGTGGCAGACCCACAAAGAGTGTTTTGTCCAGCCGACCTGGGCGCAGAATTGCGGGGTCAATGATATCTGGAGAGGAAAGGAAAAAGTGTTAAGTGAAATGAGAGTCAGCATGGTGGTGCAGCGCTGCAAACCCAGCACTTGCGAGACTGAGGCAGGAGGACTGCCATGAGTTCAAGACCAGCCTGGACTACAGAGTGAGACCCTGCACCGAATAAACAAAAAAATTAAAAAGGCCTTCATAAAAATAAAAAAATGTATAATTTGGACATTATTTAAATTCAAAACTTCTGCTCATCAACAGTGTTCTAGTACCATCCAATGAAACAACAATCCTGTTTCTTCACTAATTGCCAAAGAGCAGTGGGCTACATGTGTGCCGGTCTATGTCAGGCTTCCACTGTGTTCCACTGACTTACTTATCCGGGTCAAGACTGCCCTGGAAACAGCAGCTGCACCTAAGTGATTCTGAAAGTTTATTAAGCTCAATTCTCCACATATGTTCTCCTCAAACATTGTGCTGGCTATCCCAATTCTTTTTGCTCTTTCAGATTAACTTTACAAAGTTGATATCTACAAGATAATTATTGAAATTCTGATCAGGATTGATATGAATCTATAAATTAGTTGGGAAAAACCTGACAAGTGTCAATACTGAGTCCTCATATTCATAAACGTATTAACATTATTAAGTTAGAATTTTATTTCTTTCAGTTTCAGTTTTCCTCCATAAATGATACATATTTTGGTAAGGTATGGCAAATACTTCTTAGACATGACATTAAAACCACAAATGGCCACCGCAACCATTGAAGAAGAGTAGCCATGGCCTTCTGCTATCCCATGGCCCTGGGCCTCAACAAGGGCCACAAGGTGACTAAGAATGTGAGCAAACCAAGGCACAGCCGCTGCCACGGACGTCTCACCAAACACACCAAGTTCGTACGGGACATGAGTCGGGAGGTGCACGGCTTCACCCCCTATGAGCGGCACGCTAAGGAGTTGCTCAAGGTCTCCAAGGACAAGCGTGCCCTCAAGTTCATCAAGAAAAGGAAAGGGATGCACATTCGTGCCAGGAAAAAGCATGAGGAGCTGAGCAACGTGCTGGCTGCCAAGAGGAAGGCAGCTGCCAAGAAGGACTGAGCCTCTCCGGAATAAAGCTCTGAGGAAGTTAAAAAAAAAATAAAATAAAAATTAAAAACACAAATTGGCTCTTAAGAGGATGAAGAGACAAGTTAGAAATTGATAAAATATTGTAAATGGCATAGTATCTACATTTCTAATAAATAAAGAACTCTCAACACTCAACAGGAGTGGGGAGATAGCTCAGTAGTCTAAGTGCCTGTCTAGCAAAGACTAGAGTTTGAACCACAGTATCTTGGGCATGTGTGCTGGCCCCAGAATGAGGTGAGGTAGTATATGCCGGTAAACCCAGCACTCATGAAGTTGTGACAGGAGGATTGCTATGAATTTGAGATCAGCCTGGGGGCTACAAAAGTGAGCACAAGGCCAGCCCAAACTGCATAGCAAAACCCTGTCTAAAAACAAACAAACAACAAAACTACTCATACTAAAACAGCATACTATGTGGGCTGGTGAGATAGTGCATGCCTGTAAACCCAGTGCTGGGAAGGCTGTGGCAGGATGGTCACTGGGAGTCCAAGCTGTGTAGTGAAACGCTATACCAAATAAAGACTAAAAAAGAAATTACACACATACACACACACACACACACACACACACACACACACAGCGCGAAGGTCTACTTCCTAGCTTTGACGTTACACCAGTTAGGTAAAATGTAATAGCTGAGGCAAACTGGCATGTGAGACTTCAAGTGCTACTTTTGTAGTTTCCTACGAATTTATTATTGTCTCAAAATACAAAGTTAAAGTTACATATCACAAAAGAAAAAGAACAAAACCAGACTCATACCACTGCTTAAAACCTCAGATGGTTTCCTTGTGCACACCTCAATTGTGGTGTGAAGAGCCCTGGGTCCCCACCACTGCCCCAACATACTCTATTTCACAAGCACTGGCCCTCTGTTCTCTCTGCAAGAGATAACCTGTCCCATCCCACGGTCTTTATCCTTCCCGTCTGCTCCCTACCTGGAATGCTCTTCTCTCAGCCTTTTGCTTCACTTGTGTTTATGATCACATGTAGCTTTTTTTCCTTAAGGCCCCTAGGAACACAGTGTCTAAAACAGCAGCCCTTTGCTATGCAGCAGTCATTTTCTTCTTGCCAGTCTATTTTATTTCATATTTGTCTATTACCACTGCCTATGCCATGGGAGCAAAGCAGAACATATGCAGGAAAAGAATTTTCTGAATGGAGCTCTGAATTTCCAAGATCAACAGTATCAGGCATATAGCCAAAGCTCAGGATGTATTTGAGAAAAGAGAATACTGTATAGAATGGAGCCACAACACAAATTGTACGGTAAGTATACAACTTGCATAATTAAAGAAGAGAACACAATGAAAAAATACAGGTACAAAAGATAAAAATATTACCACTTTAAGGGGGCCGGGGAGATAGCTCAGTAGAATAAGTGTTTCCCTGGCAAGCTCAAGGGCCTGCGTTCAATCTCCGGTTCCGCAAAAAATTAAAAAAAAAAAAATTAACATTTTAAAATGTGCCATTTTATATTCCCATCCATAATGGTATAAGAACCCCAGTTTCTCTGTACCCTCACTAAAATTTTAAATTCCTATTTCCCCTCCCCTCTAGGTCATTCTGTCACTGCCTTAGCCAATTTACCTTTTCTGCCAGGAGTTTTAGAGGAATGGAAACTTCTTCCACCTTTGTCTCAGCCTTGGAAAAATGATACTCAGACACAGAAAGGGAGAGATAAAAAGGATCACAAGGCACCACATATGTCAGAAATGAAGCCAAACTGGAAGCAGATCCTGAGGTGCAGCAACTGCAGCTATCAAGTATGGGGCTCAGCAGTGAATTATGAGCCCCTCCTGGATTCCTGACCTACAAAATTGCAAGCAAAGCAAAATCTTATGCAATAACAGCCAACCAAAACAGTAGCAAGAAAGCATTTCTTTTTTTTCTTTCTTTTTTTTTTTTTCCCGCTCTCACACTATCCAAGAAAGCATTTCTTACGGCTGAGCATGGCCTGGGGTGTGGTGCAGTGCCAGAGCACATGTCTAGCATACAGAAGGCCCTGGGATCCATTCCTAGCACCACTAAAATAAAAAATTAAAAAAGCTAAGCATAGAGTGACAGGCAACTGAAAACAATATAATGCTGGGCATGGTGGCATATTCCTGGAATCCCAGCTACCCAGGGGGCTGAAGCAAAAAGTTTGAGCTAAGCCTGGGCAACAGGAAGACTTTGTGCCTAAATAAGACTTTAAAAAAGATGGGGATGGAGCTCAGAGGTAGAGTGCTTACCAGCATACAAAAGGATTCAAGTCCTCAAAAACAAAAACAAAAAAAACCAAAAAATCAAAACAATGCTAGACTGCAACAGAACTGTTCAGTGAACATAAACATAAAATAGAGACCATCTTTCTGTGTCTCCACATGCAGTTATCAATGCGATGGGGCTCAAAAGTGATGAGTGAGGTATAGCGAAGAGGAAGACAATACATGCACAGAGAAGGATAAAACACAGGTTAGGATTTGTCTGAAATTCTTAACACTGCTCAAACTTAACACTGATTGCCACATTCAATAAAGGCGTATCCTAAGACAAGTGATTAGAGAAAGAAACCTGTGTGGAAAGGTGATGTACATGGATATGTGAGGGAAATTTAAAGAAAATCTAGTGATCTGAAAGGACCCATTATCGTTTAATCTTCCGAGATTAAACCAAAAGGCAAAGTTTACAATAAACAAGCATTAAAAAAGAGTAAGCATTGGGGGCTGGTGAGATGGCTCAGTGGTCTAAAGCACCTACTTAGAAACAAGCTTAGCAAAGCACAGGGACCACGGTTCAATCCCCCAGCACCACATGCCAGCCAGCCCCGCCCCCTGGTGGGCTGAGCTGGCCACACACACAAGTAAATAAAAATTTAAAAAAAAAAAAAGCATCATTAAAGACAAAATAGGCTATCTATTCTCAGAGACAAGTCTTTTTCTCATAATTTGATAGAAAAATATCTATCTGAGCCCGCCTGACCTCGCATAGCCTGCCCTGTGAGTGAGAACTTCCACTGCGCCTTGGGCCCGCTCCATATCCGACCAACCTGCCAGTCCAAGCCCAGGCCCTCAGCATGAGAGAGGCCTTTCCCTGCGTTTTCGGGACCTTCCCGGCCCGTCCAGACCCAGCACAGCCTGCCCTGTGAGTGAGAACTTCCACTGTACTCGAGAGTCCAGCAGACCCACCAAAGCACAGCCCTGGTGAGTGTGTGGGAGCTTCTGCGCTCTCTCGCTCCCACTCCTCACAGCCCTCCAGACCCAGCCCAGACCTGGCATACAGCCTGGGGTGAAACCCTGCAGCTAAGGTCCATGCAGTGAGACTAGGGTCAAAACCACGCAGCTAATCCAGGAACAGAACATCTTACCAGAGGGGTACAGCAGGCCCACCTTCAAGGGCAACAATAATAAGGAGCTGAGCACAGTAGCCAGACCCAAGCCAGGCACAACTGCATGAACTAGACTTGGGACATAGAGGAACCTGTACTGTAACATCATGTAACTCAGTTGTGCCCCAAATTTTCTGATCAAGGTGATTATGAAGCCACAGAGGAATGTGATCAATGATGTAGTGTGCCTGGGGAGAGTCACATGGAGAGAAAACATTCTCTCAGGCTTTCACAGAGAGCAAATTGGTCAAGCAATGGCTGTGACTCATCCTCATGGCTGACACTGACAAAGGATCTACAAAGTGCGGTACAGGGTTATAGGATAAATCCTGAAGGTACTTGACTGACCTTATCAGATACAAAAGTTACATTTCTTGTTATATAGGTCTTGCTTTATCTTGGTCTTAACCATCCAGCAGAGAAGTATAAAAACAAGGCATATAAGTAAAGCCATATTAATACGATGAGCAGTAAAAGGCTCAAGTCAATAACTTCTGAGGATAACCCACTAATATTAGACTGCTAGACAGTGTTGGATTGTTTTGCTGAATTCAAGCATCTATGGTATTTAGATGCCAATAAATATCCACCTCTGACAGGACTAAACAAAAAAAAGGGGATACAAAAGAAAGATCATTTTGTATTTGTATATACAAAATAGGATAGATATACAGCTACTTTCACTTAATTCAATGAGAAGAAAGATGTGTACTAATACTGGTTGGACAGGATATCCTGTCTTTTTGTACTATGGATAATCACTAAGAAGGTAACAATGTACAATGTATTGATTATCAAAACTATCCTATTAATCAGCTTTGAAGCTGTCTCATTCATATTTCTTAATAAAATAAAATAAAATAAAAAAAAAAAAAAAAAAAAAAAAAAAAAAAAAAAAAAAAAAAAAAGGAAAAATACCTGTCTGTTAAGAAAAGGTAGGACCAGGACTGGAATTGGGCATGGTAGCACACACCTGGAATCCCAGCACTCAGAAGGTTGAGACAGGAGGACCGCTGCAAGTTCCAGCCTGGGAGCTATAAAGTGAGCACGAGGCTGGCCCAAACTGCACAGAGACCCTGTTTTAAACACTAAATAAATAAATAAAAAGGTAGGGCTTGATTCTATCTAAATTTCAGGAACTTTCAAGATTTCTTCTAGGTAACTATAATATCATGAATATTGACTGTTCTCAGCACAAACACTGCAACTGCTCATGCCCATGGCAATCCCTGAAGCTGCCTTCCATTTACCATCCATGTGGTATATGTATCGCCGACCTCACCTAACCTTTGTAACTATCCTATAGTTACGTATTATCTTTAGATGGGTCAGTAAGATCAAGTAATACATGTACAAGGCTGTTATATAATTTAAAAAAATAGCTGTTTTTTGCCAATGCTTACTGGAAAGAATCTCAAAATACTTCCAATTTTCTGAATGACAAGGGTGATTGTGTTGTGCTAAATTGGTAACTCAGGATGGTTTCTCACGTAGCTTCAGAATGGTGACTGGATACAACAAAAGACCAAACACGTGCTTAGATGGCTGGATCTTTGGGGTGTCCCTGGGGACACACTGAGTTCAATCACGTGGCCAATGAGTTAATCAAATGTTGGCTACAAGGTGAAATCCCAACAGAAACTCTAGAACCCAAATCCTGATCAACTTCCCAGCTGGTAAACAAGTGGATATGCTGAGAGGGTGACTCTAGCTCCATGGGGAGGGCATCGGAGCTCTGTGCCCTATGCACACCCTTTGCAATGAAACTAACCCTAAGGAGAACACTGTTCTGTGGTTTAAGCTGTGTCTCAAGAGCTCCACTTGTGCTGGCTAGTCAGGCGAGCACAGCGTTGGCAGGACTGACTCATGACTCTGCAAATGTCAGCATGAAAGCAGTCTACCAACCCTGGCACCAGACCAGCTACTAAGAGATAGGCGCTACAGCTGGAGCGGGGTTCCAGGGATAGCATTTGTTATTGCCATGGTCAAACTAAAAACACCGACAGTGACGGGCAGCCCAAACAGCAGCGCCCAAAACCCACTTGTTCATCATAAGGTGCCAACACTACAATTAAACCAGACTGCTTGGCTGTGGGGCCAACTTGGTCCATGTGCTAACAGAGGGCTCTATGTACCCACTGTGGCATGACACTGCACGCTACAGGCTCATCACCACTAACACTTGCAATTTCATTAACTATGAAACAGAATGCAAGTAATTCATCAAAGTAATTAACATAAAACGAAAATCATTACATCAGCTCAAAAGTGCAAATCCCTAGTATGATTGGTGGGGGCCGGGGAGATGGCTCAGTAGGGTAAGTGCTTGCCTGGCAAGTGCAAGGGCCTGAGTTCAATGCCTGGTTCCACCAGGAAAAAAAAAGAATTCTATCTAGTATTACTAGGAGACAGTTAACTATAACCACCATAACAGAAACAGCTATGAAAAGAGTGGGTCATGAGGAGGGCAAAATATTAAGCGTAAGAAAATTTAGGATTCAAAAGAAAAGCAACACTGAACATGTTTGAATTCTATCCATGCCCCCTCCCCTTTCTGTGAGATTCAGAGGCTGGCCTCAAACTCATGGGAATCCTGCCTCAGCCTGCAGTACCTGGATTATAGGTATGAGCTACCATGCCCAGCTATTTTGAATTCCTGAGCTTTTTTCTATGTCCTACATAGAATACAAGAGCTTGAAAACAATTTTAAGCCATAATTAAAGACAAATGTAGGGACATGGCTCCATTACAAAAATCTTAAAAATCTATCTTCATTTTGCAGATACAGTGAAGAGTAACTATAAGCCTAGGAGAAACCACAAATATACTTTTGGGATCAGAAATATATGTTACTAGCATTCTCTGCCAACAGGAAAACTTTCTGAGTACCTATACAAAAAACAATCAGTAGCTGCTTTTTTTACTACAGCTTATGCAATTTTTTTTTTCATGAACCAAAAAGGTATTAACCCATTTACTCTTCCTTTGCGAGAATGTACATAAATCATACAGCCATGAGTTTTAGATTGGTCTCCGAGATGGTCTTCTTCCTTACCTGGCCTGTTAGTGGCTGCCATGATAAAAACCTGCTGGCGTGATTCCAGACCGTCCATCTCTGTAAGCAGCTGATTCACCACCCGGACACTTGCGCCAGCCTGAAAGAAAAGCAAATCTACTTCCATCATCTTTCAATACAAAAGGAGAAAAAAGCCAACAATCACCCTTTTTTCTGTACAAAACAACGTATTTATTAAATTGAATAAGGTGTTTGTCAAGAGGTAACTAACAACGACTAGGCACAGTGTTGTGGGCCTGAAGTTTCAGACACTCCAGAGGCTTAAGGCAAGAAGGCCACAGGTTCAAGGTCAACCTGGGCAACAGCAAGATCTTATCAGGTTAACTGAGCATTCACTCCTCTGCACGCAGGCAGTTACCACACACTGCCATCAGCAGATGCTCTAAAATCTTGCCATTATTCACAGCCCAGACAAACAAACTAGGATGGAGAGAAGTTGTACTAACAGAAAGGAAGTATTTCACAGCAAAAGAAGAAAACAGGAGTAAAACCCAGACACACCATGCCCAACTGGCTGGGCAGAGCAAAGTGCAACGTTCTGCTCTGGACCTCAGAAGACTTTGGAATAGCACCTCTCCTATAAAAACTTTGTAAATAAATCACAAAAAATATCTGGGTACTTATTACCTATTCCTAAGATGTTATAAATTCTTCATGTTATGCTTTACCATGCTTCAAATACAAGGTTATAAAGCCAAGTATTCAAAACCATTATCACTTCCATTTATAATTATTCAATTATGTCAGTCAAGATCACCAAAACATTAATCAAAATAATACATGATATATGCAAATTAGAAAATTTATCTGATTTTTTTTCTTTTTTGGGGGACAGTACTGGAGATCGAACTCAGGACCTTGTGCTTCCCAGGCAGGTGTTTATGCTATTGAGCTCTGTACCTGGCCCTCAGATTTCAAATTACTAGGTCTCTTCATTAAAATAATCATAATGGGGGCCAGGGAGATGGCTCAGTAGAATAAGTGCTTCCCTGGCACGCACAAGGGCCTGAGTTATTATTGACTGGAACCTACACAAGGCTTATGGCATGCATGTAACAATGTCTGTAAACAAGCTAGCGATGACTGCACACACCTGTCACCCCAGCAGAATGACAAGCCTCAGCCTGCACAATTCAGCAAGACCCACTTAAAAACTTAACAAATGAGGGGCTGGGGAGATGGCTCATTGGAATAAGTGCTTCCCTGGCAAGCTCAAGGGCCTGAGTTCAATCCCCAGCTCTGACAAAAAAAAAAAACAAAAACAAAAACAAAAAAACCCCAAAACTTAACAAATGAGGCTCTCAGTTGTGAAGGCCCTGGGTAAAATCCCTAGTACTACAAATAAATACAAAAAGAAGCAAAACTAGGTCTCATGTAGCTTAGTAGCACAAGTGCTTGCCTGGCAAGTGCTAGGTCCTGAGTTAAACTCCCAGTATCAAAAAAACCCCCAAAAACCAAACACCAAAAAAATCCCATCTATAATATTCACCTCTTTGTCTGACCTTCGAGGACATAATGCATCCACTTCATCAAAGAATATCACACAGGGTGCAGAGTTCTTGGCGCGCTGAAAAACCTGTCGTACAGCTCGTTCACTCTCACCAACATACTAAATATACACAAAGAAATAAAATGTGTAATTGAACCTTGAGATTTGAACCAAATAGTACTAAAGCTAACTTATTTATTTATTATGTATTTGGTACAGGGTCTCACTATGCAGCTCAGACTCACTGTGATCCTTTTTTCAAACTCCCCAGTCCTGGGATTATAGGTGTGCACGGTCTCCATGGCCAGCTTAGTGCACCCAGGGGCAGGGCACCAGCGTAGAATGTGGAATGTGGTACTGGGGAAGTGAACCCTGGTCCCTGTGCTTGCCTAAGCAGGTACTTAGTCCAATGGGCTATCTTGCTGGCCCTGTAAAACTACTTTTAATCACACTTAGTAATCAGACTCCAAATGAATTAAGTTAAACCATACATAAGTACTGATATTAAACCATTTTTGACATAAAAGTAGCTGTGGATGGTTCAAGTTAATATAATTAGCTACTAGCTTTTTACCAAGATGGCGCCGAAAGCAAAGAAGGAAGCCCCTGCCCCGCCCAAAGATGAAGCCAAAGCAAAAGCTTTGAAGGCCAAAAAGGCCGTGCTGAAAGGCATCCACAGCCAC